CTTTCGAACACAGCTCACATTTGTCTGGGGCTACAGAGCTTACAAGGCATTTTCCCACATATTAGCTACTATAATCCCCCCCTGTGTGGGGTGGGGGGGAAGAAAACGGTGATTAGCTGTATTACGTGCTTGCTCTGTGCCAAGCACCACCAGCCTCTTTCCCTACATTGTCTTACTTAATCCTCCCTACAGCGGGGCCCGGTGCTTCTCAGGCTTGGACTGGGGCATCAGAAGCCCCTGGTGGGCTTGTGCAAAGAGACTGCAGGGGCGCCCAGCACCCCCTAGTTTTTGGTTTGTGGTAGATCTGGGATGGGCCCAAGAATGCGCGTTCCTAACAAAATCAAACAAGGTGCCTTTGTGACTGCTAAAGAGCAGGACTGAAGGGGTTGGGCTTTTCTCCCCAGCATCCTCCCACCTGTTTCACTTCTAGTTCTTCATCCCAGTCCCCGGGGACACTGAGGCTGCTGATCCAAACTTCCATTTGGTAGTTGAAAACCCTGAAGTTCAGAGGGGAGTTAAGTTACTTTCCAACAAGTTAAGTTACTTTCCTAAGGCCATTCAGCCAGAACGCAGCCTCGCAGATATTCATGGAGGTCTGCCTGGTTCTGGGCTCTGTGCTCTCTCCAGTTCTGCCTCCCCTCACTCCCCTGCCTCTATACCTACCTCTAGAAACCAATCCTAGCTTCCCTGTTGTTTGACCCTGCTGGGAAGGCCAGATGCGAACATTGAAATGCAGGCCAAGGTGCCCCCAGAACACACAAACCTCAATTCTGCAGCTCGGAAGAGATGAGAAATAATTCTGAGTGGGTGGACCACACCACACCACACCACACTACACCACATCCTAACAGAGCCTGGATGTCCCAACTTCAATTAGCAGTGACTGGAACTACAGCACAGATCGCAGAAATGATAGTGGGTTGGATTGCTAGCCTTAGGGGAAATCCCCCAACACACAGGGATAGGAATTCAGTTCTCTGGTATGAAAAACATGTTCTGGCCTTTCTCGCCTCTCTCCTCAGAGCTCTCTGTGCCTCTTCACACTCAGGACGGCAGCTGGACTGGGGGAGAGCTCACGGGGGTGTCTGGAGTTGGCTGAGCCTCTCTACCTTGGGTAAAGCTGAGACCTGTTCTTAATGAAATCAGCCTTTTAGTTGCACGTGCTCCCTCACTGCTGTCTCAAGTTCACCCTTGAGCTCCGATTCTGCCTTCCGAACTGCATTTGGGTGTGAGGCCACGCAGCACCTTTATCCCGACTACAGAATAGAAAGTAGAGAGATTCCCCCCCCCACCACCACCACCAGCCTCTCTCCACGTTTCGCGTCTAGTTCTTAGGGTTTGGGAAGGATGTCACATGCCAGGGAAAGTTTGTGGCAACCTAATATTCCAGCAGATTTGGGACAGAAGGTGGGTGGAGGCGGGAGCCTGGAGAACCAGAGGAGTTTGGCTCCATGGAGGATCCCTTCCTGATTCTCAAAGGAAATCCTTTAAGACAGGGAAATCTCTGGTCTGGGATGAAGGAGAGAGAGCAGCACGAGGAACGCAGCAGCAGTGCCTGGGTCCTGCGGAGTCCTGCGGAGCCCAGGACCTTGCCACCACAGCAGACAAGCTGGGTGAGGGGCTGCAGCCCATTGTCTGGCATCCCCAGGCCAAGCCACCATAATTCCTGAGTTCCCTGCGTGGGGATGGAGGGGCTGGCCCAGAGCATACCCTGCCGGTAGGGCCCTGGACTCCAGGAGAGGTGGATGCCTCCAGGAGGAGGGCCTGGCTTCCCTGTTCCCCATCCATCCCAACTCTTCTGAAGGCTTATCTTATTCCTCCCAGATCTCTAGAGGCCGTGACATCTGCTTCTGAGCAAGCTCACATCTGGGGAGCCCCAAAGCAACGTCTGGTGTGCTTAGGGTTGGAGCGCGGGGCCCACTCTGCTCACATGACGTGCTCTTAGATCCTTAGTGCCAACACAGTCATTCTTTTTGGTTGCTCTGTTGTTTTGAACACACTAGGGTTTTTTTTTTTTTTTTGCTTTTTTAGGGTTTTTTTTTGGTTTTTGTGGGGAAGGGCCAAAAAACCTTCCAGGGTAAGGATGACTCTCCCTGCCAGCTGGAATTTGTTAACTCTTTTATTGACTACAACACACATACCCAACAGTGTGTCATCAGTGAACAGTGAACAGCTTGATGACTTCTCACCATCTGAACAGAGCCCCCACACCAAGTAACGAAACATAGCCCGCACCCACCCCGTGCCTCCTTCCCATCACCCCCACCCCAGGAGGGCACCTGCGACCTTGACTTCTAACAGCAGAGATTTCACTTCGGCAAGCTGGAGTTGATCATTTGCTCACAGGGCAACCTGACTTGCCACTGCCCCCCGGTTCAGGGTTGGTGGAGCTCCTGGGGCCCAGCAGGACTGATTTGGGACTGGTCCCCGGTGGGGACGGCCTGCTCAGCAATTCTAAACCCAGGACAGAGCCAGCTGCTTCTTCAGCCACCCCAGAGAGGTGCACAGGGGCAGGGGGAGCCCCAGCTTGGCCATCAGATGGTCCTCCTGTCTCCAGGCAGGCCATCCAGGAGGGCAGCCTGGTGACTTTGTGGAGGGGGAACGGGAGTAGGGTTCTCTTTCCACGTGCTTCTGGAAGTCCTGCCCTGTGTTCCAGGCCATGGGAGGCCTCTGGATCAGGATGACTCAGCAGCATCTACGTGCAAAGCAGCTGAGGTCTGCACCCTGGGAAAGTCAGCACATGACATCTGGCTCGACTTGCCAGTGCCGCCCTCACGGCTTGGAACTCATTTCCCCCCCAACACCTATGGCCCTCTGTTTCCCTGTTTGACTCTGAGCACTGGTGCCAGCTGCCGGCCTGGACCTGTCTGCCTCCGCCTCCCTGGCCTCCCTGCATCTGTCGTCCTTCACCTGGCCCCACCGAGGGCTGACCCCACATCATGTGCACTCAGTGCACTCATCAAAAGCCAGATTTTCTCTGCGTTCAGCCTATGCATGTTCCACACCATTCGACTCTGCCCTCTGCTTCCTCAGCAGAGCACGGCTCCAGCGGTGCAGGGCATGGGGGAGGGAGGGCCGGCCAGAGTGAGCGGTCAGGAAGCAATGCTTCTGCGCTGCTCCTGTCACCCCCCACATGCTCCAGACTCTGCTGAGTCTTCCTGTGTCAAGTATTTGTCCTGCCTCTCCTTCCGTCTGCCTGCCATCCCCAAGCTGGATGGGAAGACATCAGATAGGAACTGTGCAAAGTCCAGAGCTCTTCCTGCCCCCCATCCTTCCCTCTCCATTCCTCTCTGCCATGTGACTCTCCCTAAAACACAGATGACTCCCTGCCCTGCCCCTTCATCTCTGGGACAAAATGGGAAGGGTCCAGCCTGCCCCTGCCCATGTCTTCCCCTGTTCGACTCAATGTCTCTTTCTGACCTTAGAGTTAATCGCTTCCCTAGAACACTTTCTGTGGATGTTGCCCCACACCCCCCAAATACCATCTTGTTGTTTCTTGCCTCACCTCATGGGATGCCATCATCACCTCGGCCATCAGCATTTCCTTTCTACCCCCACTGAATCCTCTCCATCCTCCAAGGTCCAGAGGAAAGCCCTCCCCGTCCAGGGAGCCCTCCTTGGCCATCCAGCCCGAGCACTCTCTTTCCTCGGAACCATCAGAGCACTGAACCTTTATTCCCTACCTGCCATTTTCAGCTTTGAACCGGGAGCTGCAAGTTCTTCCAGCTACAGAGCACAGCCCTTCTCATCACCCACCCACGTAGCGGCATTTCTTGCACAAGTACATACGTAAGGGATATTAGTAACAATGGAGCCATGCAACGCTGGAGCCGAGGAGACCTTGGCCTGTAGGTGGTTGGTGAATTAGCACAGTGAATTTTCTATGCCTCCCGGGCTAACAAACAGCCAAAGCCTAGCTTTTGCAAATCTAAGTCAGACCTTTCTGTGGATTCTGCTTCTGCTGGGATCAACTCCTCTGCTGGTCACCCCTCCTCCTGTGCCGAGGAGGCCAGTTCCAGCCTCCTCTTTCTGGAACAGTCTATCTTGCCCAATGCTCCTGACTGCCCCTCACAAGACATGAATGTCCTTGCACTTGTCCGTGCACCAGGGGCTCCGCCTCCCATTCCCACCCCAGTTGATGACCAGATTCCCAGTTCATTTCATACACCAGCTGAACTGATTGCAAGCTGCTTATTTTGCTGGCCTGCTGGAGATGGCAAATGTCGTTCTTGATCCAATGCCCCCAAACCCCACTGCATACGTGACATCCCAGTAAGGACAGGCCCGCACCACCTCTGAACGCCACGTACTGACAAACATGGCAACAAGACATTAATTCTAGACACACGGACAGCTGAAATTCTGGGGCCTGAGCCAAACTTCCAGAAAGGAGCCCTTTATTCTTTGTTTATTGTAAAATAAATGTCCCATGGAGGAGAAGCTCTCTGTCCCACCCAAGGCCCCTGCAGTCTGGAGGTAACTGAGGCACAGTCACCTGGGAGGTTTGGTAGAAATCCTTGCAGGACTCTGGAAAGCGGAACGCTAGGATTCACAGTCTGAGTGCCCAGGGCAGGCTCCTGTGCTCAGAGAAAGTACTACACACAGCCCGTGCGGAACAGTTCTTTAGAGAAGCCTTCGTACTCTCTTCATGATACCAGAGTTGCTCTTCTCGACCCCCGCGATAACCTCCGCAGATCACAGCATTTCGGGCTTTTTCATTAAATACAACGGTCTCCTCCAAAAAGTATCTAAGGGGACGCCCGGATGGCGCAGTTGGTGAAGGATGCAACTCTCGATTTCGACTCAGGTCATGATCTCAGGGTCACTGCGATCGAACCCCACGTCAGGCACAGGCACGTGCTTTATGCGGAGTCAGCTTGAGATTCTCTTTCTCTCTGCCCCTCCCCCGCCCCGCTTGGGCTCTCTAAAGTAAATCAATCTTAAAAAAAAAAGAAGAAGAAGAAGAAGAAAAGAAAGAAGTATTTAAGATCTCTACTTACCAAAATAGCTCCACTTGGATCCTGCAAAGAACAAAACAAAGTAAAGTAAGTACCACAGAGATTGAGCCAGTGAGAGAAAACGCTATAGATTGGATTTTGAAATGGGTGCGGCTGGAAAGGAGGCGGATGCCCAGATGGCAGACTTTGTCAGAGTCTGCGTCAGATCAGCCTCTTTCCAGAGCCGCTGCGCACCAGAGGGGGGCACGGGGCAGTGACTGGGAGCTGGGACTCGCGGGTGAAGGAGGGGGCTTCTTGATTAGAAGCCTTTCAGATCCTAGAGAAGCCAAATTTTATCTTCTGAAAATGTGTAAAAAAAAAAAAATTCACAAGTTGCAAAACCCCAAAACTCCCAAAGGGTACACAGTAAAAGCTCTTCCTCCCACCCAATCTCTCTGCTTCCAGGAGACAGAGCCAGTTTTATGAGCTGCTGGGAGCATTTTCACAGGGTGACTACTCACACGTACGTAATCGCATTCTTTCTGCCCGTTTCCGCACACAGATGTCAGCACACTGGAAACACTGTTAAGCCTCTTGCTTTCTCCCACCGAACACACACACCCTGGAGAGCCGTTCACATCAGTCCGTAAAGAGGAGAAAACTCCCCTCCAAAGGAAAGTTTTTCTTTGAGGAAGCCACCACCCTCCCCCGAGTTAGAATTCCAGGGGTGGAGAGAATGTGTAGGAGAGGTTCTGCCAGGAATATCACGGAAGTCACCTACCACCTCCCACTCCACACGCTTCACGCACTGAAGTCCCCCGTTCCTATATCCAAACATACTTAGGAAAAAAAAAAATATTGCAGAGTTGCATGCTTGGTACCCTGCCTGAAACCTCCCTCTTCATCTCACAGAGACCCTGAGACTCAGGGTATCTCAGAGGACACACCCAGTGAGAGGGACTCTTCAAATTCCGAATGCCTCTCCTGGCTTCTCCTGATGCCACCACGATGCCTGGCCCCCAGGGTACAGTCAGAAGTGGAAGGTTCTCACCTCCCCTTTCTCTCCTGGGAACTGATTTGCAGTAAAACCTAACTGACCGGCAACCTTCAACCTTAACCACAACTGAGCATTTCCTATTCGAGTCAATGGTGACTTTTTAAAAGCGAAAAGAGGATTTTGCTGCTTTTGCAAAGCTAGTTTAATCTCATGGTTTTCTGTAGTTCTGGTTCCTTCCTTCGCCTCCGTGCTTTTAATTAATTTTGTTTTTAATTTTCAAAATGGTATAGCCAGTTACACTTGGACATGGTTTAAAGCATCAGATGGTTCTACAAGGCTTTTTAATAAAGCAGTCCCCTGGCGCCCCTCGCGAGTTTCCTGGTCCCTAGGGCACTTTGAAGCCTTTTTCAATTTGGACAGTATCTCCAGATCCCAATAAAACAGGCCTGTATGGTTCCTCCATGATTTGTGTAGGTTGAGGTATTACTGACCTCCTCCCCAGAAGGGAAGCAGTGAGGTCCCCAGGGGCCACCCGCAGCCTATCACCTTGCTTTATCCATAAAGAAATGAAAGTCCCCTGCCATGCAGTGGAAGGTCAGTGTCTGCTAAGAAGTGTCTCTGCACATTTGCCAGGCACTCCAGTAAACTCGGAAACTCTCTGAGTCTCCTTCTCGATCTTTAGCGTAGTGCAAGGAGTGAGGGGGCTGGTGTTCAAACACCTTTGAATATCTGGTGAGTACTTCCAGACCTCTTCCCCACAAAAATGCCCACAGGCTTGGACACACAAAATTTCACGCACGATTAATTTCAGGAGGTCCACAGAAGCCCCTAAAACCTGCTATGGACCCCACGAGAGTTAAGAGTCCCAAGATGAACCTCCCCGGAATTAGCAACTAGATGAAGACAGGCAGAACCAAACCCCCCAGGGAATGAACTGCCAGCCCTTTGCCTGAAACAAAGCTGAAAAGGAACAAGGAAGGCATTGCCTTGGAACCAAGCTCCAACCTCTTTTCTGAATCTCTCCAGGCATTTTTGTCTGAAATACAGTTCTGGATTTCAGAGCTAGAAAAATCCAGACCATTGCCACTTAGCTGGGCAGAGCACTTGGAAGCTCAGCACACAATCGTTCACAAGTAATCGGGGAGTTCATCCTCGCGGCTAACCTGGAGAGACGGGCCACTCCCGGGATCCTGGAGGCCACCAAAAACACTGCTGCCTCCCAGCCGTCCGGCCTGGGCCAGGAGTTTAACTGCACCTGCCGCTGAATCAAATCATCGCCTTTACTATTCCACCTCTCCAGAGCTCTCCCTAACAAAGCTTGCTACACCGTCTCCCCTGTCGGTCTTGGCTCATCCTCACGTGTGGTATCCAGGTGATACTGCAGGAAGCTCGGGGACTGGGCCACAGAGCGGACATCGGGGACTGAGACCTCCGGTGGTGACACAGGACCGGGGACACATTCTTTAAAAGTTGCAGCATCCGGCGTAAACTTTCCTGCCTTCCTCTCTCTGGGCAAGCCCACCTGGTCCTCAAGCCTTGGTGCTTTGGGTATAAATGACAGTGTCTGGAAGGACTCGGGAGCGGGAGGCTAGGGAAAAGCAGCACTGTACAAGGAAGGTGGGGGGGGGGTCCATCAGATGAAGGTCAGGGCCCAGCCTGGTCCCTCTTCAGCTCAGAACTGACCCGAGGAAGACTCCCTAAGGGATATGCATGCACCCGTGTTTGTTTTATTTGGAAGTAGCACCTCACAGTTCCCGCCTCCTGTGTAGGGCAGGAGTTCTGACCACATGCAGGAGGCAGGCCAGACCAAGGCCCCTGCGGCTACACTTTGGAGGCTTCCTGAGGGAACAGGCTTTTCCAGGAGGGACATTCTGCCTCTTCTGTGTGGGAGATCTGGGAGGCCCAGCTCGATGCCTGTTAGAACCTGCAGGCCTACTCAGTACCGGGCAGGGAGGACGCCTGAGTGCTCATCTAGGAAGTGGGACAGACGAGGATCCAGGCCAGGGGTTCAGGGCCCTAACTGCTTCCTGCTCTGGATGCTAGAACCTTCTCTGAGTAACCGTCACTGGGGCAGCCAGAGACTGCCCAGCTCTCCAACCAGGTTCAGGCAGAGCAGGCTCCACAGAAATCACTGAAATGTTTCCCACAGCAACTAAGCATTCCAAGGTTTTCTCCAGAAGACATGCGACCTCACCTTCGTATGCCCCCTCCTCCCCACTCCAATCATTTTTTTCAGACATTCCCCGGTGCCAAATGTTGGGAGTTTACATGCTCAGGGAGGGCAGACTACACTTTGGCCTCATTACCTAGCTTAACCCCCTCCACTCCCCACGGTGGGTTAATATTGACACGCTACATCTCGGTGACCTTTGCTTTGACCTTGTCCCCTGAGGCAGTTAAGCAGCCAAGAAAACTACATGAGGAATAACAGAATAAAAATGGTGTTCTTAGAACCTGGGGTTAGGCAGGCTGGCTACTCAGTGTTGGGTGAAAGTGGCTTTTTGTCTGCAAGGTCCCCCATCCCTACTTGGAGAATGGGGAGGGAGGGAAGGCAAAGGAGGAGCGGGAATGAGAAAGGGCAAGGGCAGGGTCTAGGGAGAGAGGGAGGAGAAGAGGGAGGGAATGGCAGGGAAGGCAGGGGAAGAGAGGGAAGGGAGGAGGAGCTGCCCCAGAGCGAAGGGGGTAACAGGCCTTCTGGAAAGAGCCAATGAACGGCTGTTTCTCGCCTGTCTCCGAGCACCTTGGAACTACAAGAGAGATTTCTAGCAAAACTTCAGCTCCCTGTGCAGCTTTCTCAAAAGGGGAATATATGTTAAAGTCTACAGTTTTAAAAATTAATTTCCGCTTTCATATAACCACTTTCTCCCACCAAATTTTTTTCTTTTTTTAAATAGGCTCCATGCCCAGCATGGAGCCCAGCATGGAGCCGAGCATAAGGTTTGAACTCATGATCCTGAGATCAAGACCTGAGCTGAGATCAAGAGTCTGGCACTTAACAAACTGAGCCACCCAGGTGTCCCCCAACCTTCTCTTTCTTCTGGACCAGACAAGGGAAATAATATCAACCAAATCTTGCCAGCCAGTGGATTTAAGTTGAATTAAGAGTAATGCCAACAATGCGACAGGCCAGCTCCCCCACCCCCCTCCCACCCAGCCCCGTGGACACAGTGACCTCCAGCAGAGAAGGAGGCTCTGAGTTTTCATGCTACAGAGCAGGATCAATTTCCCACACCACGTGTCCGGCAAGGGCAGATCCATTTCCAGCCGTCACAGTCACTTTCAGTCCTCCTACAAATGTTTCAGCCTAACCTCAGCCCAGGACCTCCATCCAGGAATGGTAGAACCCACAAATGTCCTCACAACTTGAAACAAACTCCATCAAGGGCAGGAGCTACCATTAGTTACCTGGGAAGTTTCCACAAAAGTCACTACCTACTCCCAGAAAAGTGCTCCCCCAGCAGTTGGAGAGGCAGGCAAAAGCTTGACATCCTCTTATTGCTCCTAAGGATTAACTAACCTTGACCTTGGCCACACACCCAAACTCACTGCCATGACCGGAGCCTCCGGTTCAGGTCCCCACACCTCCTCCTGCCATCCCGTTGGGCACCCTCAGCCTCCAGCCTGTCAGGGTTAAGAGCCCTAATTACACTCAGAAGTGAGGTGTGTATGCTTTTCTGAGTGCATACACACTCACGGTCAAGATAGTAGAGCCCTTCTGGAGAAAAACAATGATTAAGAATGGGATGCATCATCCCCTTGACTTGGAGGTAAAAATGGTAAAGAAAAGCATCCACCACTGAGGGAAGGTGCTGCAGCTGGGGCACGGCAAACCCTTGGGGCTAATCAGGCGGCTCCAACGCCACATTCACTCCTCGACCACCTGCACATGGATCGTGGATGGGGCACATTTTAAATCTTGGTTCCCTTTCCCTTCCTCTTTAACAAGCTCCCCACCACCCCTCCAGACCTGGGGAGAGCTCCAAGAATGCACGAGCATGCTTTCATCCCAAGACAACGTGCTTCCGCCCACCACAACAGGTCGTGCCCGCCCAAGGAAAACGAATTTTCCAATTTGTCCAAAAACACGCCCCTGGAGATTATGCTTCCCCGAAATGATTCTGCTTTAGCATTAGTGAGCCCCGCAGGCAGTCCTCTGACCAGGTATGGCTGCGCGCTCGGGACCGAGGGAGGAGGAGGCGGACACTTTACCGTGGAGCGGGGCCGGGGCTGCCGGCTGTTCCCGTAAGCAGAGGAGCAGGAGGACGGCGGCGGCGGCGTGCAGGCTGCGGGACATCGCGCGTGGCGGGGGCGGGACAGGGGCAGGGGCAGGGGCCGGGCCGGGGACAGGGCCGGCGCGCCGCCGGGGTTCCCGCTGCGTCTGTTCCCGCGCTGGGGACCTTGTGCGCAGCCCGGCAGTGCGAAAGCGTCTGCTCTTTGGGCGCCCGGCGCCGCGCGGGCTGCTTTTATAGAGCTACTCAACCCTAAACACATGATGTCATCGTGTGCGGGGGGCGGGAGGGGTGGGTGGAGAACGCCCTGCCCGCCCCAAGTCCAGAGCCCGGGTTGCGAGGTGAGTTGTAGCCTGACTTCAGCCGCGCTCCGCGGGACCGCGCTCACCTGGGAACCGGGGTCTCTCCGTGGGAGCGGCGGGCAGGGCTGGGGGAGAGCCGCCTATCCTCCCCCCTCCCCCACCCCAGGAAGGGTGCGTCTAGAGACTGGCTCCCAGGGTCGCTGCCTTGGTCTGTCGCAACCCTTACTGACAAGCCCCCTAAGTATAATGCCACGTGGAAAAGAGCCTCGTTCAGTCCCCCCACCCCAGTTGTGTGCCAGGCCCACGTTAGGGACTGGAAAGGAGAGCAGAGAGGGTGCATTCCAGCTCAAAACTCTGCAGATGGTACAGTGCAGCCTGATAAGGTCTTGCATTTTCCTTAGGACACAAAGAAATTCATTTAGAATAGGGAAATAGCACAGCGTGGGTATGCGGTGAACAGCTTTCCGAAGCAATTAGACTGACCCTAGTAACACATAAGCTTTTTCACAATATCGGTCCCATCTCTAGGAAGCTGGGGGAGGGGGAGCCCTTCTGCAGGTAAGCAGTGGAAGAAAAAGACCTGTTTATTGAGTACCTAGGATGCGTCAGGCACTGTGCTAGGCGTTTTGCATTGGGGTCTGGGTTCGGCTTCCAGTGCATATTATCATCACCTGTTGCTCATTTCTGGCCGCTCTTCACACATTCGTGTATTAAGTATACCCGTGCATACATCGGGCCAAATACATGGGGCTCTGTTCCCTCTTTGTATTCAGTCCATGTTCACTTGTTAAGTCAGAGGTTTTATTAACCTAGTGATAAACCTTCCTCCTGCTGTTACTGCCACTTACTGTTCCCATTGTCCTTGTCACTTGTGCCTCTGGCTTCCCTGGGCCTCCCAGTGTCTGCTCTGCTCCCCATGCTGGGCTCCGGTTTCCTTCCTGCTCTGCGACCTTGCCTATTCTCTTGGCTCCTTGCTGCCTATAGACATGCTTGACTTGCTTAACCTATAGACATGCCTATAGACTTGCTTGACCACATGGTCTGAGGAAGGGTACTCACCCAGCCCTGGTACGTGACCCCTGATTTTGCCACTTGGCCCATCCTGCCCTATTCTCTTGGCCACCGCAGCCTGACCAGCCTCAGCTCTCTCCCGTCTGTGCTGACTCTCAGCCTACGCCGGCCTCAGCGCCCAGGGAAACCACTTGTCCAAGCAGGTTTTGGAGGGATAGAGCAGCTTCCGTGAGAGAGTCACCGGGGAGCACATGCCATCCGCATTAGAAGGAGTGCTACTGTTCTGTCCCTATCAGCTCAGCGATTGTTTGTGTTCATAAAGAGCTCCGAAGTCTTTTTAAGGAAGCAGTTACAAAGACAATCTTGTTACCAGCACCTCCAGACCACAGCAGGCTTAAGGATGACCTTTTCTGCCTGCAACTCTTGATAAAGAACCTTGAATGAGCTCCAGAGCAGTGAGTGAGCTGTTCACTCGTGGCTCTTAAGACATTCCTGTCTCTGATTTGTCATCAATGGCTTAAGGAAATGTACTTGAAGGATACAAGAGATAGAGAAGAGCCCCTGAAGCTTTGGAGATGCACAGACTAAACCCAAGCAGATGAAATCATTCATCCCCCAGCTCACGACAAGACACAGGGAAACTGGGCCACGTACACACATTTGGTTACTCTCAGTTCACGTGTTTTCCCATTATATCTGGTAAACATTAAGTTCAGTTTTTCCTGGAACATGCATCTCCAAGTGTTCTTCAAGAATCCCCAGAGAGGGGCGCCTGGGTGGCTCAGTGGGTTAAAGCCTCTGCCTTCAGATCCCAGGTCATGATCCCAGGGTCCTGGGATGGAGCCCCGCGTTGGGCTCTCTGCTCAGCAGGGAGCCCGCTTCCCCCCTCTCTCTCTGCCTGCCTCTCTGCCTACTTGTGATCTCTGTCTGTCAAATCAATAAATAAAATCTTAAAAAAAAAAAAAAGGAATCCCCAGAGATGGGGGGAGATTATATAAAAGGGGGGGATGGATGTAATAGAACAGTAAGGCAAGATTGTGAACTGGGTTTGATGGGGAAAAAGGAGAGGGTTGGGTGTTTACTACTTGTCTGAATCAGAGATGTGGTTAATTAGTAAAGAATGAATAGCGATTAAAAGAGAATTGAGAAAAAAAAAAAAGAATTGAGGATATAAACTGAGATTCAATTGCCCTAAGTGCTTTGTTTTTGTTTTTGTTTTTGCAGGAGATCAGAAGGGTGGAAAAGCAAACAGGAATGGATGGAATGACCAATCTTCTAAAGTATTGAAGCTGAATGTCAAGCACCCCCTCACCACCACCACCTCCCCCCCCAACAAACAGCACAAACCTAACCGACTTAAGTTCCCAGCTCTGGGAATCTTTCGTGCCAGAGGCTCTGCTCCCTGAGGCCCATGTAGCCAGACACGTCTGGGCTCGCTTTGCCATCATCAGATGGGGCGCTCGTCAACCAATAACTAAGCCATTGCTCAATGGGCTAAGGTGGAAAGGAGATCTTCAGCACACAAACTGTGGCAGCTGGCCACCAAATGACATGCCCAGACAGAAAGCTCCAAGGAGAGGAGCTCCTATACAGTGTCACCACTGGAATCAACAAGAGGGCAAGGCTGACGACTCAAAAGGCAGAGGAGTGCGGAGGAAAGGAGCCCAAGATGTGCTGTCTGGAGGTCTGGGCCGAAGGGCCTGTCCCACCACTACTTACTGAATGGCCTTGACAGTGGTAACACCTCTCGAAATTTCAGTTTCCTCATCTCTAAAGTGCAGATTGTCATCCCAGCCCTTGGGTCGCTAACAGAACTGAGATCTGGCTGGAAGGAGATAAGGCAAGTGGGAACTTTTCTGTTCATCATTCACCCTGGGCGTACCAGGCACTGTGCTAGGCTTCATCCTTGCTCTTGGAGAGTGTGCAGATGTAAAACGGTCTCATGAACAATTATATAATTATGATCAGAATAAGTGTGATACAGGGTTGATTTATAGCCAGAAGGGATCTCCTTTGTCCCGGTTCAGTGAGGGGAGACATCACCAATGTAAGAATTCGATTCTGTGACTTCATAAAACCTTTGAAATGCACAGTTAATACGGGGCTGCTCTTTCTCAAAGCTGGTCCCACTTGCCCACACTCAAGCTAGTCGTTGGCCTGTCAGACATAACAAAGCCCGTAGAGAGACTGTGATTTCTCAGGATAAGAGTTAACCCTTCAAATGGGGTCACTCCATTGGGAATCCTAAAGAAAGGACTGGTAGGAAGAGAACTAACATTCGTTGAGTACCTGCTATTTGCCTGACACTGTGCTTGCGACTTCATTCTTCCAGCAACCTCTGGGGAGAGTGTTAGGTTTGCCGTTTTATAGATCAGGTATCTGAGGCTTGGAGAAGTTCAGTCCTTTCCTTGAGTGAGGCTTTCGAGTGGCAGAGACTGAGTCCTCGACCAGATGATCTCTGTCTCCGCTGCCCAGGAAAGCTCTTCTCACAATTCTCCTAGCAGATACCTTAGATGGGGCTGTTCTGCTTCTGGAACCTGCTGAGATGAGGTTGCTCAGATCATTTATTTGATGATGAGGGACACAGTGCACCAGTTCTATGAAATCATGCTCAGCATGGGACACGGCTGTGTCCTCCTCCCCAGTCCCCATGGGGTGACTGAAAGCCTCTGCCCCCTGATCAATGCAGAGCACACCTGCCAAAGTGTGGGACAAGGAACCTGAGACCACAGAGTTCTGATTCTGCACAGTTCTCCAGTCAGTGAGAACATGAGCCCGACTACATTGTTCCTGGTTTTGTCAGTGAACTCTGCTTTGACCAAGGAAAGGAGGTATGGAGGAAAGCAGATAGGGAGGGAGAGGGAGGGGGAGGGAGGGAGGAAAAGGAAGTAGAGGGGAAGGGAAAAGAAGAAGGAAGGAAAAAGCCAAGGGATTTCCTTTGGCTAGGTAATGACAGGTCTCGCATGGACCCGTTGATCCTAGTGCAAATGTCTAGGTCTGAAAATGCAGTCACTTTTATAGCTTTATCCATATCTACTCCTGCGCTTGTGCAGCCGTGGCCTGGAGTCATCACCTCTGTGTGAACCCTGGGTGCCCTGTTCGGTTTCAGGCAGGATCAGCTGCCGGGCAGAGTGACCCGCAGGAGAGAATGCTGAACTTGTGACTCTGCCAGGAGCGATCTCTAGGCCCATAGCAAATCTCCTGGCTAGCATCGGCCTCAGCTTTCGGATCCCTAAGTCGAAATAAGAATGTCCAGCCCCACACTGGGTTGTGTGTGGGGGGCGAGACCGCAGAAGTGGAAGTGCTTTGGAAAACCAAATAAAAGGACCTGACACATACAAGATATTGCTGAGAGAGAGGGCTCCAAACAAAGGTGGTTTTGATCTCAGCCTTGGTTTACCAATTGAAGGAAACAAAAAACCGGATTCCAACAAGAGACTGTAAGTTCTCATTCAGCCCCTGCCCCCAGTTACCAGGGCAGCTTATGACTCTGGTCCAACCACTTGTCCACTGACTCCTGTCACGATTGCTTCCGCTGAGTGGGGAATTGTGGCTCACCATCAGGATTTTTATAAAGCCCTCTTCATGATTAATAAAAAAATGACAATAATTTAAAATTCTCTGCCCAGGGACTCAGTTAACTTAGCATTTTGAGTGAAAATAAACATCGGTGCAATATGTTTCCTCTTTCCAGGTCAACTATTCTGAAGACCATGGTTGGCTGACAAGAGACCCTTTAAGAGATATAATGAGACTACAATAGCGTTAAGTTTTCTCACATCCCTTTTCACTGCTGCTGGTTGGATCCACTCTTCTCTAACCTCGAGGGTTTGGTCCAGATCCTGGTCTTGTTCTCAGTGTGAAGCACTGTCCTCCCTCACTGCTGTCTTTCAAACCAACAGACATAGCGCACATCCCAGCAAGCACAC